CCAGCATGTAAACTTTCCAACCCGTGGTCACAACACCTTGGACCATGTTTACACTCTGTACGCACATGCCTACAAAGCCCACCCCGACTGGCCTTTGGCAAATCAGAACACTCCTCTGTTCTGCTGCTGCCAGCCTATTGGCAGAGGCTGAAAAGCGACCAGCCCATGACGGTTCAGTTCAACGGTGGACCGACCAATCAGACAGCACCCTGCGTCACTGCTTTAGCATCACAGACTGGGAAATCCGCTGCTGACAACAACATCAACAATTATGCTGATTACGTAACAGACTTTATTCACAAATGCACCAATGACGTTGTACCGAGGGCTATTGTACGAACCTATGCCAACCAGAAGCCGTGGGTTAGCGGAGAGGTCCGCGCAGTGCTCAGAGCACAGACTACAGCCTTTAAATACGGAGACCCAGGTGAATGCAAAACATCCCGGTATACACTCAGGAAACCAATAAAGAAGGTTAAAGAAGGGCAGTACAAAGAAAAGGTGGAACTCTGCTACAGCAACTCCAACACCAGGAACATGTGAGTGGTTTGAAGACCATCACAGATTACAAGGGGAAACAGCGTCAGATTGAGGGAGGTAACTGCTTCTCTACCTGATGAGCATGTGTCTTCACAGACATTTTTAACCTTTCCCTGCTCCAGTCTGCTGTCCCAAAATGTTTTAAGAGGACCACCATCATCCCTGTCCCTAAGGAAATGAATGTGAGCTTCCTAAATGACTATCGCCCAGTAGCACTCACCTCCATTGCCATGAAGTGCTTTGAGCGTATAGTCAAAGCTCACATCACATCTTTACTCCCTGCTTCACTTGATCCGTTCCAGTTTGCCTACAGGCCCAACAGATCTACAGACGATGCAATAGCAGTTGCACTTTACACTGCCCTCTCTCACCTGGACCAGAAAAACACATATGTGTGGATGCTGTTCATAGACTACACCTCCACCTTCAACACCATCATACCATCCAGACTCGTCATGAAACTCCATGACCTGAACATCAGCTCCTCCCTGTGCAGCTGGATCCTGACACACAGACCTCAGTTGTTTCGGATCGGCAGCAACAACTCATCCACACTCACACTCAGCACAGGTGCCCCCCAGCGATGTGTGCTCAGCCCCCTGCTGTACACGCTGTTCACCCACGACTGTACAGCAACACAAAGCTCCAACACCAATGTTCCCTCTAAGCTGCGCGTGTGCGCAATTGCGCACTGCTGGCATGGTCTCTGCACTCAGAAAATCTGCATTGCGCACAAAAAAATCTAACCTGAATTGAAATTAATAATATTTTAACAATTCTGTTTTGCAGTGTTAGTCAGTAAGTGACTGGCTGCTCCCGTATAGGATTAGAACGATGCCACCTTATCCCATAGTCCAGCCAATAATGCGATTTACATTCGTATACACGCAGCTAATCAACATCGTTGACAGGCTATGACAGCTAGCAAAGCGGCGTGACTGATGTGGAGTGAAGCCACGTTAATGACAACGTGTACAACCATTGGAGATGTGAGCAGGAGAGACGGAACAATTGACAGAAAAAGTGTGAACTTTATACCAGTTTTCAAATTGTGTTGATCGGCCACGTAAAACCAGAGTTATGATAAAAATTATAGGGAACATTGTCCAACACCATCATCAAATTTGCAGACGACACTACCATCACCGGCTGCATTTCTGATGGAGATGAGGCGGTATACAGGGCAGACGTAAGAGTCCTGACATCATGGTGCTGCAACAACAACCTGCTGCTTAACGTCAGCAAAATCAAGGAGCTCATCGTGGATTACAGGAGACTGCAGAGAGGAGGCCACACCTCCATCCACATCGAAGGAGCAGAGGTGGAGAGCGTCAGCTGCTTCAGATTCCTGGGCATCAACATCAGCGAGGCTCTGAGCTGGTCACACCATGTTGATGTGCTAACAAAGGCAGCAAGACAGCGGCTGAGAAGATTCAGCATGAACCTCAGAATACTTACAAACTTCTATCGATGCACCATTGAGAGTATTCTGACTGGCTGCATCACCATCTGGTACGGCAGCTGTAATGCTCTGGACCGTAAAGCTCTGCAGAGGGTGGTGAGATCAGCACAGTGCATCACCAGGACTGAACTGCCAGCCATGCAGGATCTCTACAGACATCGCTGCATGAGGAAGACGCAGCGGATCCTCTCTGATCCCAGCCACAGACCTTTCACACTCCTGCCGTCCGGCAGGTGGTTCAGGAGCATCCAGACCCACATTACCAGACACAGAGACAGTTACCCACAAGCCATCAGACTTTTGAACTGCTGACATTCCATACACACAACTACACACTCGCTACAATTACAGGACTTTGCACACTACCACTTCAACAAATGCCACTTAAATGCTCGTTGCACAACTTTGCACAAACTTGTAAATACCACCTTGTCTTAATTCTCTAATATTATTACTTTGTTTTTCTCCTTTTCTCCTTGTCATTGTTATTAATATTATTATTACTACTGCTAAATTCTGTTATTTTCTCCTTAATAAACTGCACACTCTCTATATGCTCATGTAAGGCTGAGGAGCACGAGCCAAAAATTTTCATTATGGATAAATGTGGCTACACTGTTTATCTGTACACGACAATAAAACTTGAAACTGAAACAGACCGGTGCAGCATCCGCATCACTGCAGACAAGAAAGCCTAATTTCTGCTGTTCAGCACTGAAGAAATGTAAACTTTTACAAATTCTGCCAAATTGCAAAACGCTCAGCCGTGTTTCTAATAAAACCTCTCTAACTTTGCTCTGCTTCACTTCAGCGGCATCAGGTAATGTTCATATGTTGATTCATGGATTTCTTCAGTTTTTGATCTACTGCAGAATATTTTTAAGGTGGTTATCGGCTATAAAAAGCCAGGCCAGAAAATTTCCTTTATATTTTTCTGTGTTTTATCCTTTACTTCAGTTACTCTGACACAACGGCATCTGCTGTGATGCTTGCACCTCTGAGTCTCACAAGTGTCAGCTTTGTTTTAGATTTAAAAATATGGATATGTACTGATAAATGATCAGAATATATAATATTTCTGACTGTCTGAGTCAAAATTGAATCCAATTAAATCGGGACCTTGTCATTCAGAACCGAATCAGTTATAGAAATCAAATCGATACCCAGCGCTAGTCCAAAACTGTAAGTGGAGCCACAAAAGAGAAGATGAACATATCCACAAAGGTTTTTATAATTACTATATTCATAATGTATTTAAATAGATTTATAATGCCAGAGCCACGTCCTGAATGTTGAATTTTATGGTTCTTGTTCTGCTTTTATTCAGACATTATCACAACATTGCAACACATCATTTTCATATTGTCTTTTTTTGTATTCACATTAGCTTTGATATGTTTTATTTGTGTTTATTCTATGGACTGATTTTTACACACATCCAACTAAACCTGTCACTGACAATACATTTTCTGAACTGAACTTCAATTTCCATTTCCTAGTACAATCTGGACAAATGTTTTGCTTTCTTTATTATTTCCCAGCTATAGTTACTATTTCACAAATCAAGTTTTTGATCTATCTACACTCAACAAAAATATAAACGCAACACCTTTGTTACTGCTCCCATTCCCCATGGGATGGACGTAGAGACCTAAAATTCATTCCAGATACACAATATAACCATCCCTCCCAAACAGTGGTCACAAATCAGTCCAAATGTGTGGTAGTGGGCACATCTGCTATATTGAGATAATCCATCCCACCTCACAGGTGTGCCACATCAGGATGCTGATCTGACATCATGAGTAGTGCACAGGTGTACCTCAGACTGCCCACAACAAAAGGCCACCCTGGAATGTGCAGTTTTTTGCGCTATTGGGGGTCTGGGGACCCAGAACCGGTCAGTATCTGGTGTGACCACCATTTGCCTCATGCAGTGCAACACATCGTCGCATGGAGTCTGTCAATTGTGGCCTGTGGAATGTTGGTCCACTCCACTTCAATGGCTGTGCGAGGTTGTTGGATATTCGTGGGAACTGGTACACGCTGTCGTATACGCCGGTCAAGCACATCCCGAACATGCTCAATGGGTGACATGTCCGGTGAGTATGCTGGCCATGCAAGAACTGGGACATTCTCAGCTGCCATCTGCCCTGAACAATGTGAACCATGATTCATCCGTGAAGCGCACACCTCTCCAATGTGCCAGACGCCATCGAATGTGAGCATTTGCCCACACAAGTCTGTTACGGCGACGAGCTGGAGTCAGGTCAAGACCCCGATGAGGACGACGGGCATGCAGTTGAGCGTCCCTGAGACAGTTTGTGCAGAAATTGTTTGGTTGTGCAAACCAATTGTTCCAGCAGCTGTCTGGGTGGCTGGTCTCAGACGATCTTGGAGGTGAACCTGCTGGATGTGGAGGTCCTGGGCTGGTGTGGTTACACGAGGTCTGCGGTTGTGAGGCCGGTTGGATGTGCTGCCATATTCTCTGAAACGCCTGTGGAGACGGCTTATGGTTGAGAAATGAACATTCAATGCACGGGCGACAGATCTGGTTGACATTCCTGCTGTCAGCATGCCAATTGCACGCTCCCTCATTGCTTGTAGCATCTGTGGCATTTTGCTGTGAGACAAAACTGCACATTCCAGGGTGGCCTTTTGTTATGGGCAGTCTGAGGTACACCTGTGCACTACTCATGATGTCAGATCAGCATCCTGATGTGGCACACCTGTGAGGTGGGATGGATTATCTCAATATAGCAGATGTGCCCACTACCACACATTTGGACTGATTTGTGACCACTGTTTGGGAGGGATGGTTATATTGTGTATCTGGAATGAATTTTAGGTCTCTACGTCCATCCCATGGGGAATGGGAGCAGTAACTAAGGTGTTGCGTTTATATTTTTGTTGAGTGTACAATACATAGTACACCCTTTACTAAGCTATGAGTTTCAGTGCGGTACTGTTACAGTATATATTTTTACTTCCCCCACAGAAAATATCATACCGGAACAGTGTGTCTAACACTGCATCATGAAAGAGACTACAGTTATGATGATGCTCCTGTCAGGTCAGTTTGAATTATTTATTTCCACTTCATTTATTTTCATTGTTTTAATTGCACAAAGAAAACAAAATGTGTGCATTTGTCTATGATTTTTTGACCACAAATTATAAATTGAGTTTGTTTTCAAATGCTTCGAAGCGCACATTTGTGGTCAGTGATTTGACTGCACTCTGACATGTCACCCATTTTAGCTGTTTTTGCTACTAAAGACACCAAACTAAAAAAATTAATTATGTGTGTGTGTGTGTGTGTGTGTGTGTGTGTGTGTGTGTGTGTGTGTGTGTGTGTGTGTGTGTGTGCACATATCATTTCCACAGGACTGTTTTACTTACCTGGCTATTTTCCTCATCTTTACAACCTTGTTGAATATGGAAGAGACTGGACAAGAGCTCAGGAATACTGCAGGAACAAGTATACTGACCTAGCCATTGTACATAATGAGCAAGACTTGGCCAAACTGAGGAACCTCACAGAAGGGTTTTCTAATGTGTGGATTGGACTTATACCTGACACTGAAGCATGGAAGTGGTCTCTGGAAAACCAGGATTACTATGGTGAAGGGGAGACTGAGTTCAGGATGTGGAATGACGAGGAACCCAATGGTTTAGGACACCATAAAGTTTGTGCAGCAATGCTTAAAAATGGGAAATGGGCAGATGTAGAATGCAACAGCCAACTGCCATTCTTCTGCTACAATAAAAGTAATTAAATACAATATGCATACTGTATATCAGTGTCCTGATTATTATCATGACTATCATTGTAATCTCAAATGGAGGTGATGAATAAGTAACACAGATGTATAGTTCATTTGCATTCTTTGGCTGAGCAGTGAAGTTAGACCCTTACTTATGTTTCTTTGCTCAAATGTTTTCAGACACATCACGCTTCATATTTGTGAATATGAGTAACACCTGGGAGGATGCTCAGAGCTACTGCAGAAAGAACCACACTGACCTTGCCAGTGTGAGAAACCAATCTGAGAATGAAGAGCTGAAAAAGATAACAGTGAGTTCCTACACGTGGATTGGACTATACAGAAATTCCTGGAAGTGGTCGGATGGAACTGCACAGTTATTACACAACTGGGCTCCTGATAAACCATCCAAGATAGCCACAGATGCATGTGGGACTATATTTAAAGGCAAGTGGGTCAACTATCGTTGCGGTGCAAACTGGTACTTTGTCTGTTATACTGGTGAGTTCTGATTTTACTGTATTTTTAATATATTCTGATATTTTCTTTAGTCTCAGAAGATCGTTACATCACAGCATTTTTTTTCCCTCATTCTTTTTTTATAAACTCAGCACTCAGGGAGAGGAAGGTGCTGAAGATTAAGCTGAAGAAAACTGACCCCTCTGTGGAAATGGAGGACCTGGAGGAGGAAATCTTGGAAAAGGTCATACCTGAGTTTCAAATAATATTTACCTATAATGAAAAAAATAAACGTTTTACTCAAAGAAAGTCTTTATAACAGGTATGTGATATCAAAAATAAGACTGACAGCAAAACCGACATGAAATGAATCTTTTTTAAATAGATGAATATAGTAATAAAAATAATGATAATTCAAAATGTTATCAGGTGCCTCAGCATTTTTCAATTTAACGCAGTTAGCAGATCACAAAATATGTGCCCAAAACTGAAATCTGGGGCCACTTCCTGTATTGCAAGTGGCAACAAGGACCAGAGACAGTTCAGTGCATACTGCATTGCAGTCTTCAACATCTAAGTGAAATGCTTAAGGTCTTCTTGAGACTTTAGGATGAGAGTGAGTCCAGTCCAGTTTATTGTTCAGATAAACACCAAGGTACCTGTAGCTGTCCACAGCCTCAATGTCCATACCTTGGATGTTACTTGTGCCTGCGGAAGTCTACCACCAGCTCCTTGGTTTTATTAGTGTTGATCTGGAGGTAGCTCAGCTGGCACCACTCCACAAAGTCTAGGGTCAGATCTCTGTACTCCTTGTCGTCCCCATCAGTGATGAGGCCGACTATTACAGAGTCATCAGAGAACTTCTGCAGGAAGCACTGGGTGGAGTTGTGGGTTAAGTCTGCAGTGTAGATGGTGAAGAGAAACGGAGCCAGAACCGTTCCCGTTCCCTGTGGGGCCCCCGTACTGCAGACGACCCTGTCCGACACACAGCCCTGAGTTCTCACATACTGTGGTCCGTCGATGAGGTAGTCCAAAATCCAGGTAGAGAGGTGATGGTCCACACCTGAGTTCTCCAGCTTGTCCTTCAGGACTGTGGGCAGGACGGTGTTGAAGGCACTGGAGAAATCAAAGAACATGATTCTCACAGTGCTCCCAGCGGTCTCCAGGTGAGAGAGGGAACGATGCATGAGGTGAATGACGGCATCATCCGCTCCAATGCCAGGCTGGTAGCCAAACTGAAGAGGGCCCAGTGATGAGATCACCAGGTGCCAAAGCTGAGCCAGGACCAGCCGCTCCAGGGTCTTCATCAGGTGGGATGTCAGAGCCACTGGCCTGTAGCTGTTGAGGTCCTTGGGGCATGAGGTCTTTGGCACTGGTACAACATAGGAGGTTTTTACAGAGCTGTGGGACTCTCCCCAGCCTCAGGCTCAGGTTGAAGACGCACTCCATCACCCAACACAGTTGGTCTGCGCAGGACCTGACAACCTTTGAGCTGATACCATCTGGACCCGCTAACTTCCTGGCTTTAATCCTCCTCATTTCCCTCCTAACCTGGGTGGTGAGAAAGACAGGCTGGAGCCTTGTGTTGAGTTGTTTTGGATGCTGTTGTTGGGGATGGAGAGGAGTGAGCAGGGTGAGTAGAGGAGGTGTGAAGTGTCAGAGGTGGAACAGCAGCAGTGGGGGTGGGTGAGTTGAAGACTGCCTCATGGATGTGAAGCTAGTCAGAGCCTTTAACACTGTCTTATTTTGACTGAGCATAAAGATATGAATCGTAAGTGGGAAATAGATACCAATTAACACCTCACCATAAAAAAAGATCAGAATAGAGGTGGAAACCGTTCGTGAACCCCTAAGGGGAAACCACACCTATGCACGGCACAGGGGATTTGCCTCCAGTTGTGGTGTGCATTGAGGAAGGCAACATATTTTACACGTTTTCTTCATTTCGTCACTTTTTTTATTCATAGATCTGGGCAAACTGCACAATAAAGCTTATTTGAAAAGTCCAGTATTTGAAAAGTAAAATCTTACTGCTAAAAATACAAAACTGAGTTTAGTAATAATCTTTTTATAGAAGCCAACTAAAATATTGAAGAACAAACATTATTTACTGAAAATGTACTTAAAGTACAGTTTTGTTAATGTGTAGAAAGTGATATTTAAATGTCATCATTATAATTACATGTTCATCAAGTGATGAAGCTCTTTCTTTACCTCTAGGTAAATGATTTATTAAAACGTTTTCCCACAGACAAGTCTCATTAATCAGAGATATTTAAAGATTCAACAGGATATTAATGAAGCATTTATGTTTCACAGTTCAGACAGAGACTGACAGAGCATGGCCTGAGTGGAGTCTTCAAACTACAATGGGTGAAGCAGCCTGATGGGAAGAAGCATGTTGAAGAAGAGGAGGAAGTAAAAGAGGCAAACTGTGGGGTCAAATAAAACATTTCATTATCCACATTTGATTATTGAATTCTCCTATTCAGGACATATGTTTAATTGGTTAGGTTAATATTCTTACAGTAAGGTACAAGTTTTTACTTTAGCAATGAAGCTTATGCATAAATTCAATAAGTAAGATCAGTCATCAGTCATCTGCCTGCTTTCTTGGGTGTTCAGCTGCTTTTCTATTTACATGTCTACTGCTTTCTCACGCTGTCAATCTCAATACTGACATCATTACTTTAGTCCAATCATCTTTTCACCCTTTTGCTTTGAGCCAATTAGCCTCTGCTTCGCATGCTTTAAATCTCAGCTCTCCATTGTTCTTTTTTTAGACTTTTTTTGTGCAGCCTGCCTCCTCCCCATCTCCACCTCAGACACCTCAGACACCTCAGACAGAGCTCTATTCAAACCTCAGTCTTCATCTTCACCACCACCACCATCTAGACTCCAGGGGGCCGTGTCCTAAATCCTATACTGGTCCACTTGATTGTCATAGTTTATTAGGTTTTAAAAAATATATATATTATTATTATTATTATTATTATTATTTAGAGTTATTACAATCAGAACAGACATGACCATGGAATGGGAAAGATAAAAGAAAAGGAAAAAGAGAAGTTGGGAAGAAAATTAACAGAAGGAGAAAAATGGAGGAGAATAAGGACAGAGAGAAAAGACACTGAAAATCTGCTTCAACACCTTTTTGAAATAAAGATGTATTGATAAAAATAAATATAAGCAGCCAAGTACATTTGTTTTTAACCAGAAAATATTTTAGGAAACAGTTTGTGAGCTGTCAAGGATGATGCACACAACCAAATACAGGATTTAACACCTGGCCCTACAGAAGGAATAATAGTGGTGTTGTGGATGCATAACAATTTGACCATCTTAAATGTTGTTAGTCTTTCATATTCTGCTTATGCTGTAATGCTGATGACTTAAAGACAGAAATTATAGTCCACCAACCAGCTGCTGACATTATTGACGTTATGTGTGAGAATAAGTTAGAATACATAGATAACTCTGTATCCAAAGGACTTAGAATGTCTTTCATATTTACTGACAGTCAGGAGAGTCAGGAGAGACTCAGATGTTGCCTAAGTTGCCTTTTATTTTTTGGATTTCATGAACTTACTTTATCCCTTTGAGTAATATTTAGAAACATATGTTCATATGGCAATATAAATTCATAGGTGGTAGTTCTATGTTGTCCTTCTGCTTAGGAGCATAGCTATATTGTATCCAGTAGCTTGCACATGCTTATCCTGTTGCTGTAACAAGTAAACCATTATGCAAATTGTCTGTTATGTTCATTTACCTACAGCCATCGTTGTCAACTCCCCATGCTGTCTCCGCTGGTGCAGTTGAACCAAACTTGTTGCATTAAAATCACTGAAGTGATTCCCAAGACTCTGGCATTTTTATTCAACTGTGATACAAATTTTGCTCATCTCCCTTGACTTTTAACCCAACAAACATGCTCTGTGTACCAATCAAATGAACTATGGAAGAGAGGCAAAAGGGAGGTCAGGCTGGCAAAGGGAGGACCCAAACGAGGACTTCCTATGTAGAATACAGTGTGTTTATTTAGAGTGAACAAATGACAAAATGCAAATAATCCCCAGTGCGTGCTCTCTTAGGGTGCTTGTTCCCTGCTCCCGTGCTGTGACTTCTCCCAGTGTCCGTGGTGAGTATTTCTGCTCCTTTCGTCTCGGTATACATGTTCCCCTCTTTCCACTCGTTTCTTCAATTCTCCTGGAAACAACAAAACAAATATTGTTTCCATAGAACTTTCTGCCAACCAAGTTTAATAGGACTTCTTATTCAGCTTGTCAGATCCCTTATCTTCTGGTGAGGCTGATGTTCAAAATATTGCTGCCTCAATTTGGTTTAGTTTAGCTAAAGTTCTTTTAGCTGTGATGTTCGTGGAAATAGGCCCTGGCAGGGTCTTCCAAAGCAAACTGATCTCCTGGAAGAGGCCAGAATAATCATAATTCAAAAACTTCCCAATAAATCTTAGATACTTTGTCTTAAAGTGGGTAATCAGGGCCCCCTAGTGGGGCCATACCTAGCAAGCATGGGTCTTGATCAGGTACAGTACAAAAGAAGTAATCATTTTCTATATGACTTATCCATCTATCGAAGCTATCTAAACATTTGCTATATGAAAAGTAACTGTCCAATGGCCTTGCCACCATTCCTATAATAGGAATGGTGGCTTTCATGAGTCTTTCTCATGACAGCAAGAACTGCAATTACTCATTCTCATCTCTGTGATGGAATTTTTCAGTGCAAAATGTCTCAGTTCAGCATTTTTAAGCTGTTTGTTGAACCATGTTGAATCATTACTGACCTCAATTGGGGCGAGTGAGGCCTGCAGTTGTTCAGATATTGTTCTGGATTTTTGTGACCTCCTGGATGAGTCAGCAGGTACAGCCTGCTCTGCACTTTCCTGTAGAGGGCGTCTGAATTGTGAGTCCAGTCCAGTTTATTGTTCAGATAAACACCAAGGTACCTGTAGCTGTCCACAGCCTCAATGTCCATACCTTGGATGGTATTTGTGCCTGCGGAAGTCTACCACCAGCTCCGTGGTTTTACTGGTGTTGATCTGGTGGTAGTTCAGCGGGCACCAGTCCACCCTAACCCTCTCCTGGAGTAATTGTGGTAGGTGGGCCAAACCTGGGAGGCTTCACCACTAATCCAAGTTTTTTTCATTTATGGATAATTGCTCTCACTGTGGTTTGCTGTAGTCTCAAAGCCTTAGGAATGACTTTGTAACCATTTCCAGACTGATAGATGTCAGTGAATTTTGTTTTTCATCTGCTCTTGAGATATTTTAGATTTTGGTATGATGTGTTGATTTTTGAGAGCTTTGGTAGCCTTTCCAAACAAGTAATACTTGTTTAGTTATTTTCCAAATGTACTGTCATGAACCTTAACATTTAAAATGTTAACTGAGGCCTGTAGAGTTAAAGATGAAGCTGTTTTTGTTTGTTGTTTTGTTTTGCATTTTATCTGAGCATTGCACAGGTGGACCGTGAAGTGATTTTGCAGGAATGTCCACTCCTGTGAAGAAAGTCAACTTTTTCCCCCCACTGTTGTGAATAACCTTTCTCACTGTAGAATAACTGACTTCAGTTTGTTTGGAAATGCCCTTGCTATACAACCATTCCCAGACTGACGGGCAGCCACATCTTCTTTCAGATTTTCCTTGTCATGGTGTTAAAAATCCCCCGAATAACCCAAACTTACAAAACAGAAAAGAAGTGATCCGAAGAAGAACTATACTCGTGCACCACCTCTAGGCTCTGTTATCAGGTTGTCTACACATTGTGGGGGTCATTGGCCAATCACAGGCCTTTTCAGTGAAAAAGGGTTGTTATGTTATGTTGTGGCCTTTTTGCACTGACAGATGAGGGATTTTATCTGTGTCATGACTCGCTCCGTAAAGTCGCACCCAAATCACTGGTAAATAGAAGTATTTATTTATTATTTATTTGGATTCAGTTGGTCCAGTGGAAAATCTCCTGTAGAGTGGATCATGGGACATGACAGAGTGTCCTAAGAATCACTCAATGGGTTCCACGACCAGGTACAACCTGTCATGGTTGGCTGTGTGGCAGGCAAGCAGAAGTGGTGGACCCAAAATTGCAGGACTCTTGGAGATGGGAATAAACTGAAAATGCAGCTTTATTGCTGGAGGAAAGATTCACGAAATAAAACTTACAAAAACAAAACTCTAAACCGAGGTGCTGGAGGACAGGACATTACAAACACACAGCAAGTTGAGGGTACGACACGACACTGACACAAAGAAACTCAGGGCTTAAATACACAGATAGCAGTAATCAAGGGATGAGAGACAGGAGGGGAACACACCTGGGAGAAATCACAGCTGATGAGACAGGGGAAACGTAAACCTGAGCACACTCACATACGACACAGACCTTCACAATAAAACAGGAAACTCAGACACATGGAACCAGACAAGACATTGAACTAAACAGATTCACAAACAGAAGGGGTGACACCATAGACAGACAGATACAGACGCAGACTCAGAGGCAGACCGAAAATAACACGTAGAACTCAAACAACAATAATAATCATGATAATAAATTGGAAAATGATAATAATAAACTTAAAGCGCTGGGTCACCGACCCAGGACCATGACACAACCTTGCATCACTGCTGAGTGCAACACGGATACCACACATCCCTGCCTATTGTGGTTTCATTAAAGCACGGAAACTATTTTGCTAGATCAAGTTACAAAAACTAAGTTTAGCAAAAAAAACAAACAAACAACTAAACGTTTGATTTGAGTAATATCAATTATGCTTGGTTAGGGACAGACACAAAGAGCACTTTTTCACATAGTTTTGGGTTAAATGTAACATGCTAAACAGACATTACATCTAAAGGTAATGAAAGCAGCACAATCCATGACATTAAAATGGTAAATGGCCTGTATTTATATAGTGCTTTACTAGTCCCTAAGGACCCCAAAGCGCTTTACATATCCAGTCATCCACCCATTCACACACACATTCACACACTGACATTACTTAGCTTAAAAACAGTTACACATAAACATTTTATGCAATACTTTATTCCTAAAAATAAACAAAGGACTGAAACAAAAGATTTGCCATACAATAATAATATTGATGTTAATGCGATGGAATACGATTTTGTTATCATATACAAATGCTGTTTCTGTTCATGGTTTCCATCCGCTGTCTGTTACAAAATGAAGGATTTATTTTCAGAGATTCCAGTAGTATTTAATTATTCATTTATTTGTCTGACATGTTAAAGTTGGAACCTCTGGAGCAATGTAAAAGGCAATCGTAGGAAGTTAAAATGACATTTAATCTTATTTGGTGACAAGAGCAAATTAGCAAATATGAAACTATGGCTGCTGTATAAATAATGGATTTAAAGAAAAGGAGAATACAATTTTTATGTAAATATAGTGGTAATATGTTTAGGTTCCAACTTTGTTTAGTTGAAAATCATTCATTATTACTTAAACATGAATAAAAACAACATAAAATATTTAAACAACCTTGCCCCTTGACTTTTCTCCCAGATAACACCTTGCACACGTCTATAACTTTTGTTCAGCTTTGCTCTTTCCTCCTTTTTTCCCTTTTTTCTTACCACATTTTGACCCTAAAAATGTGTTATTATGAAACTAAGCTATGATCAAACATTTGCCCTTCCCTGCGCTTTAATATCCTAACGTTACCTCCGGATTTGGCCGAAATTAAGGGCTCGGGGAGCCGCCTGCTGTCCTCGGGTAATTTCAGTGACGCTCCAGGGTGACGCGCATGTATGGGCGTCACAGGCGCTCCTGATAGTAGGAGGAGA